TACATTATTTTTCCTACTCCACCATTCTCATATATCAGCAAATTCTTACACAAGCATCAACAAGACAATTATTTAACACTTTACCATAGTCTACAAGTCTATCCAATTATTTATTCACAAAATTCTCTTCATCATCAATTTTATCAATACGCCCTGCAAGGAGCTCATTTTCATCTGCTTTTTGACAATTTTTAACAGTTACATAATACAAAACTCTCTCTTTATTCCTGATTTCTGACCAAATTGACAACAATTTGTCAAAGTGAACTTGGAAAAGTGAAAAATCACCTAGGTGCTCACATTTAAAGACGGGTAAAATTGCAAGTTGACCACATACGTATAGACACCATTTGGACTAGCTTTCGCATGGTGGGCCATGTGATGTGATACAATGCATTGTTTTTCACAATAATGGTGCCCAAACGAGGGCTAATATTTTGTCATGTCACATACTCTTTTGCTCTTTCCTCTACTCGATTTTTTTCCGATGCTTTTCAAGGATTTTAGAATTTTCTCAATTCTAACTACAGCATTTGTCTCCAGGCTTTTCTCCTTAACTTTCTCCTCATCAGCTTCAGCTTTTTTCCTTTTAAGCAAATCAATCACACCTTCAAGTGCTAGTTCAGCATTCTCATTTCTCATCAAGTGCTCTGCAATTTCAGCTGGCGTTACTTGAACTTCCTGCATTAGGCCTTTTATCTCGGGAAACAGCCTCGGATTATCATCGATTGCCAAATAATTCGATGCCAGGACGTGGAATCCAGCAGGTGTGCAGTAAGACATGTTAATGTGCATGTCCATCCGGCCAGGACGCAACAGGGCAGGATCGATCTTCTCCTTGTGGTTTGTTGTAAAAATTATGATTCTTTCGTCTCCACAATTCGACCATAGTCCATCCATGAAGTTGAGCAAACCCGATAGAGTTAACTGCAATGAACACGAACGTCAAAATTTGGGCAAAGAAGATAACAAAATTCCTTACAAATCTCACTCCTGTGAGTAAAAATTTCAACTCTGCTTTATCAGGGGAATAATCGTCCTGGTTGTCAATTTTCGCATTGAACCATAAGACAGGATTCCAGGCCTCGAACATCACTAACAGCAAGCAGAGAGTAATACAGGCAAAGCAATTAATCAAATTCTGCCATGAAAAAATCATGAAAAGTTCGACTAACCTTGGTATCAGAAGGTTCAGGCTCGGCATCCCGGTTGAGCATCGGAGCACTGCAATCAATATCTTCAATAACAATAATGGATCGGTTAGTAGTCGAAAGCAAAGTCCTTTTCAATTCAGAATTGGAATACAAACTGGTAAGCTCCAAATCATAGATATCAAACTTCAAATAATTCGCCATTGCTGCAATCAAGCTCGATTTCCCAGTCCCAGGGGGCCCATACAACAAATACCCTCTTTTCCAAGCCTTTCCAACTTTCTTGTAGTACTCTTTTCTCCTCAGAAACCTGTCCAAATCCTCAATTATTTGTGTTTTCAATAGTGGGTCCATCGCCAATTTCTCAAAAGTCACGGGATGATCCAAATTCACACAACCCCAAATCCCACTTCCATTAACTCCATCTTCTTCATCGTCTGAGTAAGAATATGGGCAATCCCTTGTGTACAATTTCACATTCCTGTCTTTTTCCCTAATTTCTTTGGCCTTTTGCATTACAAAAGGCAAATACTCATTCAACACCATTTCTCTATACTGTTTGTTAAAACTGAGTTCAAAGTACCTTTTCTCAGGCTGAAAATGATCTTTTTTATTTTCAGGCACTTCCAACACAAACTGCCACTCAAGTTGAGTTCCGTTGAAAGTATCAATCTCCAGCTCATTTTTCTCCATACTTAGAGTAATACTTGTCCTCTTGGGATTCTTGCTTACCTTGAATCTCTCCGTATTCGGGCTGATTTTTGTGTGCAGATAAACCTCGGCAGAGTCGTAGATTTGGTTGCGGGTCATGCCACTGTTCTCGTCCACCACCATCGTGATTCGGGTCGACAATGGAGTGAAAAAGTAGCTGAATATTCGAGTGAAAACAGATAGGATGTAAGACTTTACTTGCTCCGGGATAATATCATGCGCCATGGATCGAAAGAGCATCATTGATGCTGCAACAGATGCGTAGGCTGAGAATATATTGGAAGTCATTGATTGCATATCACCAAATGACTGCATCTTGTACAAATTTTGTTGAAAGAAACTTTTGGGATTGAAGGCTCTTTGTTATTCTTTGAGTTTGGCTGACAAATCGAAACTTGGGGCTTCGGGTTTATGATGACGGATAGATTCTTAGAGGGTTATTTATACATGAAATTGAGAATGGGAATCGAGGATGGGTGTGTAGATGAAACGTAGCGAAGAAGCATGAGAAAGATTTGACTTGACAGAGTTTTGTTGTCAGCTTCTAGAATATTGTAAAATTCCGAATTTCTGGTGACTGTAGAGGATAACTACTCTGCTTGGGCAGCACGCAGGTCATCAGTCTTATGCTGACTAATAATAATCAATTGAAAGGGGAAATTAATGTTGGGATCCCTAAACTTTTAATTGATATAGTTTTGAGTTCTCAACCTTCAAAATTATGATTTTTAGTCCTTAAACTATGTAAATATGTGAATATGAGTCCATCTTTGAAAACCATCCATGTTTAAAGTGAAACTCGCACACGACTATAACATAGCTTAAAAGATAAAACATACAATTCCATTTCACTTGAAATTTTTCGTGCAATTTCAACAATCATAATGACAGTTTTCATCACGTAAGAACTAAATTCGTAGATTTAAAAAGATGAGCACTTAAAATATAAAATCACACTACCTGAAAGATTGGAAAATATACCCATAATTTTCCTAAAAGATTGTTGCCGACATAGTGTTGGGATTAGTTTCCAAAAACAATGAGTTTGAGCCTCATTTTTGGAATAAAAATACATTTTAGAATAGTAATTTGACGAAAAATGTGTAGTTAAAAAATAAATAAATAATTTGAATTTGCGTGTAATATTAATTTATTGAAAATTGTGATTGAAAATAAGAGATGAAAAGTAATTTTTAGAAAATTTGGGATTAGATTCCCAAAATAAAAAATGAATTCTATTTTCTGAAACTTTTGCATGAAGTAGAGAAAGTTTATGGAAAAACATGAAAAATAGTTTCTTTTTAGAGAGCGATAAAAAATGAATGTTGAGAAAAAATGATTTTTAAAAAATTACTTCCATACAAACACTTAAAATGAAAAGCATGGATTGTCTATAAATTGATTTTAAATACGTTCACATTTTTTGCAGTTGTTCAATTTAAAATTGGACGTCGATCAATTTCCAGCATTTTGCTGAGCAATATTAAATAGAATTTTAAAATCAAGATTTTTAAAAACCTCGTATTCGGCAACGTTCATAAAATGATGGCCATAAATGGATAGGATATGGATAATACTCTTTTACATTTTTAAACGTTCATGGATAATGATTTGGCTCCGTACTAATTCTTGAAATTGATATCTAATGTCATATCCATTTATATAGGGTCATATATCTTGTGAACGAAATCAGAGACAACAAGGTAGTACTTCCTTGGGGGTAGGTTTGGGAAAATGTATTTTGGGGTTGTGAATTGCCCTTGCCAAGAATGCGAATATCATGGGTATTCTTTGTAGTCCCTAGGAGAACGAATGCGAAGCAAATATTGACGTTACCACTATGTAGAACATTTTGAAACGGAATACCCTTTCATCAAAGAGGTCCTGTTTGGTCTCAATTATAATTTAATACATTTTTTAGTCTTTTTATTTTAATAAACATTCTCCAATAAAATAATATTTTGTGTAAATCCAAAATATTTCCTTCTTTTTTAAACAAATTACTATTTCAAAATACATCATCTCCAAAAACTCATTATAATGGATACCAAATAGGGGTTAAGTGTAGTCATAGGACAACTTTGACATGGGTTTCGTGAGTTACACCAATGCAATCATAATTAGAAGGCAAAATATTTTCCAAGCGTTAGCATAGAATCACATCAAATCATTAAAAACAAGTAGTTCAATCTCAGGCAATATACAAATAATTTTTAATCGGTTCGAGAAGTTCCATCGAGATCACTTTATGTAGAACATATTATACCGAGAAACGATTTTGAATGTCTTAACCTGGAATTTGTCTATGTCGGACCCATGGTGTGAATTGTATTTTGGATTTGGTCTAATGAGTCGTTCGTCTAAACGAGCCACAGATAGCAAAATATATAACCTAATGTTTGAATCGAGACTGATAGCCCTTGTCATGGTCTAATATTCCATGCCGATCTGTTCATACACGTCGACATTGGTCCCACTGTATGATCCATATTCATCCTTCTCCGTCAAAGGTGTCTAGCATGAAGGAATAGTTGTTTCGAGCTCTAGGATGACTTTGAATACGTCTCCTACATTTAGAGAAGTAAAGTTCTAAAGCACGATCTGGTTGCAACAGTAATCGAGTTAAATCATAATATTCTCTATAAAATATCCAAATACTCCTCATCAAACTCATCGTCGATGCCAGACTAATAGCATACAATCGATATCAACCGAAATTATCCGTCACACAATGAAATAGTTTGAAAATGTTTTCCAAACTGTGCAATAATACGATGGGTAAGCGTACAATTGAAAGTCGATTAAACGGCTAAAAATTTGACAAGAATTACTTTAATAAATCTCCCCACTATCAAAGTTTTTCATATTCTGATGCTGATGATAATATTTTTATTTTAAGAGCATTTTTGGTTCATGACGTGGCAATGTTTGATAGGGACAAAAGGACTAATGTAGAGTTTGGAATTGCTAGTGGTTGTAGAGGATAGAAAACTGGCTTGGATAGCACAAAAGTATTCTTGGTGAAATATTAAGCCCCTATTTGTTTCCAACTGTTACAAATGCAGCAGCCGCGGCTTTTGATTTTCTATCTAACAAGTGGGACCCAAGCGTGCTCTCACAATGTCATGCTCTAGTTTTGATGTCGTTGAGATGTAAACGTCAGGTATTTACAGGGAAGGGACGTCAGAAAACAAGAAAATAATATGCTTTGTTTAGTTGTTATCTTTTGACTTTTGAGAGTGTTTTATCATTCAATCAATCAATCCTCCAATCAAATCCTTGTAATGTGCTCATGCATAATCGTCCTAGTTCATGAATTCTTGAGATCGAATGTCCAACCGCTTTTCCTGGTTTTCAAACTCTGAATCATTACATTGGAATAACCTCGAAATTTCTCACGATATTGGTAGCTTTGAAATAAATATTATTAATACTTGTCTTGTTTCGAACAAAAATGCTGAGGACATTATTAATAATTACTGCTTGAATACATACAGATTGTGTTGGAATTGTGGAGTTGGCTGAGTCGAAGAGGAACTCAACATTTTATTGAACAATGTGTTGTTAATAAGAAGAAAGAGAAAAAATAATTTTAATTTAATTGGGTCAAATAGAGGCTAAAACTGGATAATAAGTTGTGGATCCACAAAATGTCCAGATAAGAAATATGTTAACTAATTCAAGTTATAATTTAAACTCCTCATTATACGCACAAAGGGTCTAGCAGTGAGAATTGAAGCCTATATGTTTGGCTCCCATTTTTTTTTTTTTTTTTTAAATTCATTTTTAAAAATTCATTTTCAACCACACATTTTCCTATAAAATAATTTCACACGTAAATTGTAAACTTTTATAGACCATAGGCTTAAATTCTCACACATTTTCCAAAAAAATCACTATTTCAAAACACATTTATCCAAAAAATGGTGCCCAAGCACGAGAAGTGTTCTAATTTCATCTAATGAGATAATGAGTTCAATGGGCATTAAATTCAGGCATTAGGGTATATTTTTATTCATATTTTATAGACCATAGAAGCAATTGACCAAAAACTAGTACAAAATTAGAAAATAATTATTATGCCTCATCCAACGAGATTCCAAGAAACGATTACATGACAGCCACATAATAAACAAACTTAGGCCCACACTCCTCATTACTATCCTATTTGACGTATCCAAGGCCCTTAATGCACTCAGCCAAACTCTCATGTAGAGGTTGAACCTTCCACGAACGATGTAAGACGATGTTACCTGCCGCAATACCAATCCAAAGCAAATATGCTTCAGGCACATAAGGGGACCTCTCCTAGAAGACCATTCGTACAAGATTTTCTATGATTGATTGATGAACCTCTCTCCAGGAGTCATCCTATTAAGTCAACTTGTCAGTATACTCTTCTTACGAAATGTTTAGGCCATAGGATAACTACTTTTCAGGGTCATTTAACGGGCATAAAAACTAGGATTGATAGAATGATACCTATAACAAGGCACCTCTATCATCAAGATGAGACCACGTGTCTCTTCGTCCTACAGTAACTATTCCACCTCTTCTACTATAAAATTTCAAATTTAGTATCATTTGAAGGTAAAGCAATTTTACAATCCCATAGTAATGTTGCTCTCTTATTTGTTCTCTCTTGTTACACTTGCTCCTCCGTACACTAACGTGAATAATGTCTTTGGGACATCTCATACCAAATACACCTATACAAGTGGAATGACTTGATTTTCGAGTGCTCATGGCCATCTCTCCTATCTCCAGAGAAGGCCACGTGGTTTTTAACGTTTTGTCGAAGTGTACATGAGATATGCTACATGGACATGAGTGAAGCCAAAATCTTTTGGCCATATCACCCGTGCCGAAATTAAGGTTAACAGATTGACATCGTCTATGAAAAATCATACTATTAACCACTAGCTACCCCGTGAAAAAAAGCAAACTAAAAAGTGCATTTGCAGCCTCCTTGAAAAATATTTTGTTCTTGGATAAAGAACAAGTGAAAGTTTCGAAGAAAATAGGTTCAATGCTTTTAAGGTTTCCTTGAAAATAATAAACTTTGACGAGAAAATCTATTTAAAAGATTCCCTCTTTGAATAAAAGAGACGGGGCACCCTCATGAGTGCAAGTGAAGATAGAATGAATCCATGAAGTGTGAGAAAAGTCACAGAAAAAGAGGCCCTCGAACCCATGCAATTCACCATCTACCTCACCATCGTAGAGGCAGTAGGTTTGCTGCCTGCCTCACTAGAGAAGTGGCAGGGATGGCCGCCAACATGAGAAATTTCACGGAGCATAACTCTACAATGTTG